GGGGCATCTTTCCAATGGAAACAAATCCAAATCGGCACCTTCAGCTCAGAGATTCCAAGGGAGATGCGGGCGTCACAGGTAAGTTGTAAGGTATGGCTGGGAGCTGCGCACACCACATAGGCAAACACCCAGACATGCATGTACACACATGCTGCACACAGACACGTGTACGCAGGCATGACACACACAGGTGCACACACATACACACACACAGGGACACAGGCAAACACCCAGACATGTACACACACACCACACACAGACACGGGTACACAGGCACAGTACACACAGGTGCACACACAGGAACACGGGCAAACACCCAGACACGCATATACACATACTCCTCACGCAGACACATGTACGCAGGCACAGCACACACAGGCACACGCACATACACACAGACACACAAACACCCAGACAATGTATGTACACACACGCCCCACGCAGACACATGTACACAGGCATAGCACACACAGACACATGCACATACACACAGACACACAGGCAAACACCCAGACACACATGTACACACATGCCCCATACAGACACATGTACATAGGCACAGCACACACAGGCGCATGCACATATGCATACAACGACACACATGCATGCACACATGCAAACACCCAGATACACATGTACACACATGCCACATGCAGACATGTATAAACAGGCACAGCACACACAGGTGCACACACATGCACACATACATAGGCACACACAGGTAAACACCCACATATGTACACACGCCATATGCAAACACACATACGCAGGCACAGCACACACAGGCACACAAATATACACACACAGATGAACACCCTGACACACATGTACACACATGCCACACACAGACACATTTATACAGACACATCATACAGAGGCGCACACACATACATGCACAGGCACACACAGAGGCAAACAGAAACCCATGTACACACGCACCACATGCAAAACATCATATACACCATGCAGCCACACACACACACACACACACACTACACAGAGACATACACACCACACATGGGCACACACACAGATACCCATGTACACACACACCACATGCAAAACAACATGTACACACACCATGCAGGCACACACACACATCACAGAGACATACACACCACACACATGCATTCACTCACACACACACACTACACAGGCATATACACACGTACAGACATGCGCACACCCCAAAGGAACACATGTGCCTGCGCAGATGCACACACACAGGCATGTACACAGATATGTATGTACACAACATCAGACATGGACATGAACAGCGGCACACATACATGAACATTGACAATATGCACACACAAGCTCAGAGACCCACACATACATGCAGACATACGCAGAAACATGCAGAAACCCCTCCCTGACTACCAGAGCTGGAGGAATTCTGGCACCAGTGCCAGCACCGTGGACAGCGCCGCCGATTCCTGGTGTGTTAAGTTGGGGCAGGAGAAACTAGAAGAGGACAGGGAGGTGGCAAACAGGAAGTGTGACTGCTCACATCGAGGCGCTGGCAGCTCCAACTTCATCTGAGGAGTCCCAGGAAGACAGAGCCCACCCATGGCGCTGGCAGCTCCAACTTCATCTGAGGAGTCCCAGGAAGACAGAGCCCACCCATGTGCTGCAGAACCCCCTGGCCCTGGAGGACACACCTGCAAGGGCAAGTGAGACCATCCTGTGGGCAGAAGTCACAGCAAGAATGAATTCTTATTAAAAAGCAAACAAGCATCCTGCGTTCCAGCACACGTCCCCCCAGGCTGACACCAGGCTGGGTGCCTCCCAGGAGGAGGCCTTTGGGATAGGGCTCTGTGTCCTTCTCTACAGAAGGCCTAACCAGGCCAGCAAGGCCATGCCAATAGCATGGAGCCCTTGGAGCTCTCTCCTCGACATGAGCGGCTGGCACTGCTGAACCACCTACATGGGAAGCTGTAGAACAAGGAGTCAAAGGACTGGCAGTGGGGTACAGTGAGCCGAATGGAGGGGACACTGTGGGGCAGGGACTGCTTAAATCCCCTGCACATCCCCTCACCACACACACGGCAGCAGGTGGTGAGGACGGGAGAGGGGAAGCAGCAGGACTGCCTGGCACTCCTCTGCCTGCTCAGGGCCCAGGACGGGGCTCCTGCCCCCATAAGGCTGTGGTCCTCACCCCAGCAGCCAAGGATCACCTCCATCCAGTAAGTCCCATGCAAGCTTTGCCTCCTCTAGAAACATCCCTGAAGCACATACGGAGTTGGGGAGAGGACCAGAGCCACACCCCACACAATGACCAATGACCACGGAGGAGGCTCCGCAAGCACAACACCACCACACCCAGGGAGCAGTGACACAGTCAGCGTCTCCAGAAGGGAACAAGGTCCCACATGGCTCTGCTCACCAACACAAGAGGCCCAGAAAGGCACCGGGGGCCGTCCAGGGAGGAGGAAGCAGCAAGGCTCAATCTGCCAACGCTGGGCGCAGTCACTCCTTGCAGGAGTTACCTGGGCAGCTCCTAGGGCCCTCACCCACTGCAGCAGGCCCCTTCCTCGAGGAGCATGCTGCCCCTGGGGGATCTGTGACACTGGGGACCTCCCTAGTCCACTGCAGCCCCACTTCAGGCTCCCTGACCACTGGCTCCCCTTCAGGCCAGAAACAGTCTGACCGGAGCTAGCACTTCATTACAGGTCAGGTATCATTCAATCTCCCTGGGTAGAACCGCGGCCACGGCGCCCTTCCCCTTCCTGGGACCCTCTTCAATGAGGAGAGCCATTCATGGTCGGAGCTGCACAGCACCTTTCAGGGGCTTGCAAAGCTAGTGCTGTAAGTACACTAGCATAACATAGAGCACATCTGACAAAGTTTCACTCAAGTAGTGCTGCTTCAAAGGCAACACATTCTTCCTATTAATCCTGAAGAGCTCTGCTACATGTGGTTACAGGGAAACTGTTGCATTAGCGGTTACATTGCCTAGCAGAAACTATCTAATTCCAGGAATAAAAAATGCTTAGAATCACTGCTTCAGCCTGATGCTACCCTTCCGACATCATGTATCCTGGTCTGTGCCAGAGCCAGGCAGGGGAAAGCACAGGCCCCTGAACATGTCCTCTCAGCAACCACTGTCCTGACCCCTTTGAGGCACAGCCTCAAAGCAGAGCTTCACTTAGCTCAGGGAGGGAGGGATGCCATGCCTGATTCCCTGCTGCAGCCAGGGACTGAGGGGCTCTGCCATGCTCAGCAGACACTCAGCCAACACCTAGTGGCGAATAAACGATGCCAAGTCAGAGTTCTTTGTGGGGGCCAGTCCAGGAGAGGCACACCTGCACCTTGTGGCACCTGCTTCCTCTCCCACCATAAACAATGGTGTCCAACCCCCACCTGCAACTACCCCACGACCATGAGCTGAACCATGGGAAAAGAAACATCGCGGAAGAGGGACACACCAAGCCCCGTCCCCTCCTCCTGATACGAATTCCCCTAACTTCACACACAGAAAACTAGTATTTTGTTTTCCACCTACATTTTATACTTTTGGGATTTATTGACCCATCCTTCCAACCACAATGTCCTTAAGCAACCTTAATGTACTTGACCATTCTGTCACATATCCAATAGGAAAAGAAAGCCATTTCAAGGGAAGATGATTAGTGAATGACTAAAACAATTAACAACTCTCATTCACTTTAATTTAGTGAGTGGAGAAAGGGTTTTTTTTTTTTTTTTAAGTTGATTAGGTACATTACAGATGACATCATAATTTCTTGCAATAAAGAAGGGCATTTATTTCAGGCTTAGAAGAGTTACAAACACTTGAAGGAATGTAAGAGAAGACTGTGCTACAGTTTAAAACGAGGAGAAAGCACGCAGCAGCAAGAAGCCACCCCACGGCGAAGGCAGGGACAGCTTTGCAGGCAGCTAGCTGTCCTGTCTGCTCCTAAGAACCTCGACACCCAGTTAACACCCTGCCAGCCCTACTTGCAGGACAGGGTCAGGAACAAGGTGGTTCTGGTACTCATTAACCCACATGAATGTCCATTCTGGAGCCTACCATCTGATTGCTTAAAAACTGGTAAGTCATTTTAACCTGTGAGCTGAGCAGGCGACAACGCGCGAGCCCTAAAGGACGAGGGGGAGTTCAAGTGCACCGCTTCCTACAAACGAGTTGAGACCACGTTTTTCTCCATGTTCTGCCCCACTGAGAAAAATTTTTCTTATGCAATTGTTTTATAACTATAGTTGCCACTGTCTTTTTATTTCAAAGGGAAAAACATGATTATCAATTTTAAACACAGGGAAGGAAAAATTCATCAGGCCCGAATTAATCCGAGTAGCACGAGATTCATGTCAAAAACCGCCACTCTTTCCATTACACTGATGATTACGGGTGAAGGCAGTGAGCTGGGGTGTAGAGGAAGCAGAAGCACGCTTGTTTTCTACCACCTGGGTTCTGAGGCCAGGCCAGATAACCAGCTCCATTTACCTGCTGCCGTCGTCGGTACTGATTATACCATCACAGAAGTTCACGAGCACTGGGATGCGCCCCACAGCTCGGGTCCACGGAAGGTACACGCCGCGACCTCCGTCTCTCAGGTGAGCCCCGAGGAGCCAGCTGCAGCCCGCCCCGGAGCCCTGGGCGGGGACCCCTCTGGAGAGCTGAGCGCCCCCACCCACTCACGGAGACGCGCTCTGCTGAGAACACGCACCCTGGCCGGGCTCGCCCCGCCCCGGGCCGCAGACACCAGGTGCGGCCTGGCAGGGTGAGCCTGTCCGCACTCCCGGCCCGGCCGGCAGCCCTGCAGGCACCAACACGGGCGAGGGCTGGGCCGCGGCCCGCGGTCGGGGTCTGGGTGGAGCGGGGGATGGGCAGGCACCGGGGTGGAGGTGGGGAGGCGGTGGGGGCCTGGGGTGGGGCCCGGAGAGAGGCTGGGGTCGGGGTCCCGAGTCAATACCGCGGCCTGCGCCGAGAGCTGGGTCTGCGGTCTGGGCAGGAGGCCTCCGCGCCGCCCCGCACCTACCGTGCCGCCTGTGCGCCGCCATGCGGGACCGCGGCCGCAGACCTCCGCCAACAGCGCCCGGGCCAGACCCGAGCGACGTGCGCTTCCGGGTTCGGCCCTCCCGGGCCCGCCCACAACAGCAGGAATGCCCAATCCGGATAGGGGACCCTGGCACGGGCTGTCAGTCAACAGACCACGGCCGTGGATTGGCTGATACCGAGTCTGTGGGCCTGTCTCGAGACTCCAGTCCCGCCTCTGGGAGCCTCGCTGCGGAGCATGCGCGGAGGGAGAGCTGAGGGGGCGACGGCGCCGGCTCTCTGGGGCCTGAGGACGCTGTGGGTGGCAGAGCCCGCTCTACGCGGTGGCAGAACTCTGGGGGCGAACGCTGTGAAGGACACTGTGCAGAAGAGGGCAACGGAGGGCTCCAGAAAAGACGCGCCCAGCCCCAGCCCCACGCGTGCACTCACGGGTCCCCAGTCCACGCATCGCCCACAGGCACCTGCGGGACACGGAGTGGTCAGGGCGGTGCCCTCGGGCACCTGCCGGACACAGGGAGTGGTCAGGGCGGTGCCCCCGGCC